AGAAAGGCAACCAGCAGATCATCCATGAGCTACACTCCCACCAACCCAGCACGGACACGAGCACATAGCTTTTTGAGGGCTGGTTGGCCATGCAAGACTCAACCCATGTACTTAGAGAGTGCCAATATATACCTAAAAAGAGAGACTGGCACTAAATCCCCCCTAGCAACTCAACAACCCTGTCATATCTGCCCTAGGATAGGGTGCCCAGAGCCATAATTTCTCTTCTTCCCTCCAGTCCCGCAGAACCAGGCTCGTTCCTGAGGTTGGGGGATCCACGTTGGGGATGAAGCCAGGCAATGTGGCACGGCCGGGGCCAGCGCGATGGGCTTGGGGCACCCGAGCAAGCTCCGAGGAGGAAGAGGAGCCACACATTTGTTCTCGAGCTCGGAGCCTGCGTGTGTGCGCACGAGAGCGAGCGTCTCAATTTTAATTGCAGCCTCGTTGCCAAGTACAACAAAGTCCGCGTACAAAGAATAGAAGTCATTTTGTCCTCAGATTTGAATTGTTTCTTTCCTAAGGGGAGGGGAGGGAGGTGAAAGCCGTTCCTTTATAAGCAATGACTCAGGTGCTACGATCTACCCTGGGCGCGCATCTTGCAAGCCCGAGTAATGTTTTGTGCCGTGTTTTGTTTGAACGGCGTGGGTCCTAATAATGGGATTATTGTTCGGTTGCGTGCAAAGCCCTCGCTTGGGGTTTTTCTGTCCCCGCCCAGCCCTGCAAACCGCAGCCGCCTTCGCCTTCCCCGGCATCCCGGCGCGGGCCGGCGAACGCCCGGCACCCGCGCGCGGAGCCCACGCGCCCATTCCTGCTCCCTGACTCACGGCACCGTGCGCGGGGCGATGTGAGCCGTGTCACGCCGGCACGGGGAAAGGTGCGCTTTCCCTGCCCCGGTTGCACAACGGTAACCACGGCCCTTCGCCGCGTTCTCCCCGGCCGGCAGCGAACCGAGAGCTGGGCAGGCAGAAGGAGCTGCCGGCGAGGGAAGAGCAGCAGGCGAGCAGGCGTCGTGCCGCCGTGCCAAATTCCATGCCTGCCACTTGCCGCCCGGTGCCCACCGGGAGCTGCCTGGCATTGCACGGAGGCAGGGAGCACGGTGGGATTCGCCCAGAAGCAAAGGGGACAGTGCTTTCTCCTTGCCCCGCAGCTCCGGGCAGAATGGATTGGCCGCGTCCCTGAAGGGAGAAACCCAACGCGTTGCATTACACACTCATAGCCCCAAATAATCCCCTCTTCAAAGCTCTAATCCCCCGGCAAACACGCGTACAGTGTCATGTGCCCGAGCTATCAGCAGCCTCTCCATCCACCGCTTAGTCATAAGCACAACCCGACACTCGTCCCGGGCAGCTCTCCTGTCTGCGGAGGAGTTTCCCCGTGGATTCCTCCATCGTCTTCTTGCCAGCCATTAACTGCCCGACTGGGTACCGTGCCCATGGCCGTCCCGCAGGACAGCATCTCGGTGGTTCAGCCTCTGAAAGAAAAAAAAAAACCACAAGAAAAGCAGCAAAATACACCCAGCGCTGCATCGCCGGGCTTTTTTGCGACAATTTTGCTTGGCAAAGCTCTTCAAGCACCAGCTTCGCACCCGGGGCACACGTGCTTGCACACGCAGCGCCAATCCACCGCCAAGCTTCGCCCGCTGCCAAACGCAGCCACCTCCGGGGCTTGAAGAATTGGGGGATTTTCCCAGTCTCAGCTAAATGCTCGGGTCGCCCGCCTTCATTAGCAGGGCTTGCAAAACCCCAAAACATCCACAAAAGCATCAGCAAGCAGGCCACAAACCCCATCACAAAAGCACATATGTGCACTGTTTAGGAAAAGATCTTTACCTTTGGGGCTTGAGGCTTTTGGATGGAGAGGAGTCACAGTTTAAGTTTTCCTCCAGCCAATGCAAAAAGTTATTACATTTTAAGAAAAAACCCAAGAATCTAAAGTTTTTGTATATGTGAGGCTTTACTGAAAAATTAGTAGGGGGGGAGAAATCACCAGCATTGATGCTACAATTTAATACTACACTTGTACGGGGCTCAAAGGATATTTCAAACCGGTCCAGGCACCGCTGTGCCCCTCCAAAGGCTGACCACCGCCCATCAAAAGGATGGAAAGACAGACCCCCCCCCGCTCTGTGCTCACCACGGGCGTACAGCCCCGTGTGCTGCAGTCCAGGGGTTTCTCCCCATTTCAGAGCAGCAGAACCACAGGACAGCTTTTCCAAGGGGGCTCAGCGGCCGCTGCCTGTGATGTGGAGGGACCACAGCACTGCCAGAGCCCCCCCCAGGAGGACAAAGCCCCAGCTGCATCCCAGCACGCACATCCAGGCAAGGATTTGGGGCCAAGCACACCCCAGTCTCCCAAAATCCAGTTCCAACCACGGGATAACCTTTCTCTCTTTTCCCTCCAGCTCAGTCTCTGCATGAGAACCAGCTCCTCCCGGCCGATGAGCAGAGCCCGTCTCCATTTTGCGGGGCTCGGCTGTGTGTTTATGTTGCCTTTGCTCTGAACTCCACCTTTTCATTGACAGCTGTTGTTTCCACGGGTAATTTCAGGCCTGGCCCCCGGCCAGCTTTTCAATCATACCAAGGAATAGATATATAATTTCATTCACCTCCAGGGTACAAACAGAAAAGAAGGATTTTCGCATGCGCTTTCTGCATCACCCTTCCCACTCGCTTCCTACAGGTCCAATGTACATAATTATCTCAGCTGGCTACATCTAAGCGGGATTAAATGCTTTACGTGATATTAGCTCACAGCAATCTGATTACAAGACTGCCTTTAAATGTATAATGTGGGTTTTTTTTACCAACTTACACCACAAGCCAGAAATCGAATAAGAAAATATCACCAGCAGCCTGCGAGAAATCCCGACCTGTGGACACCCCTGAAGTTTTTAAATTTCACACAAAGGCTTTCAGTGGAAAACAGAGGGCTGAAAGGCTTTCGGCAGAAAACAGAGGGCTGACACTTCTAGTGCATCTAGAAACGAGGTGAAGAGTGGTGGGAGATTGCCCAGCCTTTCCACTGGTGGAACTGGGAAGGAGACACCGGCCACAGGGGCAAAGGGCTCTTGTTCCCAGCCGTGGGCTGCTCGCTTCCCTCTCCCTCCCCGGGGCAGGGACAGCTCTCACCTGGTTTGAAAAAGAGTGTCCTGACATCCCTTATTTTCCCCACTGAGAGTCATAACCCCAAATTTCCCCTGTGCCTGGAGAGACCCGGCTCATCTCGGGGTCCCGGGGAAGGTCGTGTCCCCCTTCCCATCCCCGTACCCCGGGACTGCAGCCCTCCGGGCTGCCCCAAACAAGCATCACCCCTGCCGGGGCTGAGCCAAACCAGGGACGGCCCTTACACGTGTGTGCAAGTGTGTACACCCCCGCAGTAGCTGTACCCCCAGGTCGGTGCAGGCAAAGCTGCTTTTTTACCCCAGGGATTTCTTGCCGTTGTTTTTTTCTGAGTCATAAGGCATGAAACCAGTGTCAGGCGTTGGAGCTGGGGGTGAGCTGGCCAGCTGCAGCAACGCAGTGAACACTAAAACACACTCACGGTTGCCTGGATGAGGCACTGCGAAGCTGCCTTTCTTCGGCTTTTTTTTCCCTTTTTTTTTCTTCCCCAAAGAGGCTGCCTTCCTGGTTGAGAGGCAGGACCTTTCACAAGCCAGGAACAATTAAGCTGGAGAAAAGAAACATAGCAGAATGGAGGGAGGAGAAGCAAAGGTATGGCTTTAAGGCATGAAAATAGATCAGTGCAAACTCTGAACTTCCCATTTATTGAAACCAATCACAGTTAAAAGGTCAAATCCATTGGCGAACAGTAGTTTTGTATCATCTATAGTGACACACAAATGAAGTACAAATGAAATCCAACCCAAAAAAATAAAAATGAACCAAACAAAAACGCATGGCTCTAGCTTAGTTTATCCAAGCCTGTTCCCTTTGGCTGCCCTTCCTGCAGCTTCTCCGGCAGGACCGAGCAGTGGTCCAGGACCCCCCCACACTCGCAGCCCTGCACCCCCAAGAGCCCTGCGGCTGCAGAGGGACTGAGATGCAGGCAGCAGCCAGGCGATCCAGTTATTCCTGCGGAAAGGTCTAATCAATCTCTTTTTACTGAAGACAGAAGCATCCTTAGCGAAGAGGGAGGCATGGTTTACAGCATCCTTCCAACTTCGGCGTTTTGCTCCTCGCTGGAGCGTGCACCAAGCAGAGGGAGGGACGGGCAGGGCTCGCTCCTCAGCCTGGAAGGGACTAATCCTGCCTGCTCCGGAACGGCTCTTAAACAAGAGGTGCTTGAAAAGCAGAGGGTGAAGAGGCAAGTATATATGGTGCATGTTTCTGGCTCTTCAGGTAGGATAATTAATTCACTCTGATGAATTATTTCATCCTGGTGCTGCTCAGGAAGATGAGGGCTCCCGGCACGCTCAGGTCCTAACTCAGCTCCGAGGTCTTCTGAGGGATGAAGTGTGACCAGGGCCACCGCCGGGAAAAACCTGCCTTGGCTCTTCGGGGAGTTATGAACCACTGGAACCAGCAGCCGTAAACCAGCAATTGCTCGGGAAGGCCAGACACAGTCACGGGCCCATGTGGAAACGTGTCCTGCTGTACTCCAGTCAGGCAGCACATCAACAACCACATGGACGACCATACCTTGCCTTTTCAAAGAGTATATGCTAGAAAACACAAAAATTCTTCTTTCCTGTTTTTTTTTCAGAGAAAACCTCAGGGTATTGGACACAGTGCATTGGATCAATGCCCACTTAGGAGATAAATTTAGGAAAAAATGACATTTCCCTCTTACAGAGATCCCAAAAAGATTCATTTTTTATTTGCCTGGACTATATGCATCTATCAAAACAAATACCCTAGAACATTCCCAAGGACCCGCAGGTTACACGAGACCTGCAATCCCACAGAGTGCTGTATGTGTTATCTTAGCCCTATAATGCCTTCCACCTGCCTTTCGAAAAAAGTGTGGAAATTCAGACTCTGTAAGGAGTTTACTCCATTCAAATGCCTTGGTACTTAACCACAGACCAGCTTAAACACGCGACAGTGAATTTCTAATCTTCTACAGAACAAAGATGATCAAAACCCAGAGCGACCTGACTCAGAAACCAGCCCAGCGCGGAAGGGAAAGGACAGGGTGACCTGCAGCCCAGCCGACGCGTCGTCCAACAACCCTCCCGAGAGGAAAAGAAAATCTGGTGGCGAAAGGAAACCAGGACCTGCAAGGAACCACCTGTATTTGTGCTTTGAAAACCATCGATATGACGTTGGAGGGGAGGAAGAGATATAAAATTATAGGAAATCAACACCAAACCAGATCCAAAAAAATATATGTACAAAAAAAGTCTAGAGGATAACGTGTGTCCGGTTCCAAACGCCGCCGCACAAATGGCTCTGAAGTCTTCTCCCGGGGAGCGGCGCGTTGCCCTACCCGAGCCCAACGTCCAGGGACATCATCACCACAAATCCTAATATCGAGGTCCAGGAAGCCAGCTTCCCGTTGCCACTGCAGGGAGAAAAGGGGAGGGTGTGAGCTCCTGGGAGCCGGGACCAGCTTTTCGGATGAGGGAAGCGCTGCTTTATAGCTCATCCGGGCAAGGGAAAGGATTCTTCCAGAGTCCTCTGCGCTTCCCTCCGTGTCTATCTGCCTTTAGTGGCGGGCACCAACAGGGTCTCACCTGGTCTGTGCCTCGGGGATGATATCATCCATCACCACGTAGACCATGGCTCCGGCGGCAAAGCCCAAGGCGTAGGGGAGGAGAGGCTCTGCCACCACCACGGCGAAGGCACCGAAAACGCCGGCTAAGGGCTCCACCATGCCGCTCAGCTGCCCATACCTGCAAAAGACCGAGACTAAAAGCCACCAGGGACCCGGCGTGAGGGACGGCACAGCCCTCCCGCGGGGCTGCTGAGGGTCTGCAGTTCCCCATCCCACCGTCTTCCCTAATGTCAGCGTGTCCGGGAGAAGGTCAGCCAGCTGGCCACGCCAAGCCAAGCCACCTGTATCATTTTAAACGGGCAACGAAGGTGATCTGACCTAACCTAGCTGATTTTTCCAGGAAAGGAATTAAGGCACGATCCGGTTCCTTCCCCCAAGAGCTCTGCGGGATTTGGGGATCCAGCTCACAGGCAGGGATGGGTCAGAGGGGAAACATTTCCAACCAGCACAGCTCAATCGCAAAGAGGACATCTGGCCACAGCCTCAACCAAGATGAAATTGTGTTCTTCGCTCTCATTTTCTTTCCCTCTAGGCCTGCTTTAACTCTCCGGACCATGGGAACTCCCTTCCCGGCAGCAGCAATCCCGGTGCAAGTCCCAGCACCGGCTGCGCTTACTGAATTGGAGGTGGGTGGGAGGAAAAGAAAACAAAGCTTTGGCGGGAGCCGTTTCCAAGCCGTCCCCCTGCCCTCCCATCCATCACCCGGCCGAGCACACGTGCACGGGCAGGAACGCAGCCCTGCGCTCGCAGGGTTCATGCCCTTGGCTTTTTCACCTCAGGGAAAAGAAAAAATAAAAAGTGGGTTTGAAATCCAGCCCAGAGTGAAGTGAGAGAAAAAAATGAAACAAAATAAAAATGAAAAAAAAAACCCCTTTTAAAAAAAAATCCCCCCCCAAAAATGTTTAGGGCAGGATCTGGGAGCTCACCACAGGCACTCAGCAGGCAGCTGAAGCAGGATGGGGTGATCCAGCGGGATCACCGATGCATCCCTTGGGAGCTGGGGGCTCGGAGCTGAGCTTGGGCGCTGCGGAGGGAGCAGGGCAGCGCTCACCGCCCTTCCTCAAAGCTGGAAACCAGCAGCACTCCCAACAGCAGCTCTCCGTGATGCCAGGAGGCGACCCGGCAGGTCTGGAACAAACCCATCCCAAGGGCAGCTCAATGACAGAGCAATGCAAACGGATACGGGGAAGAAATCTATAGGCACCCGCTTGTCAGGAGCTGCTGGCGGAGGGCTCTCATTTCCACGGGCGAAGAGGAGCTCAGCTTACCAGAACGCTTTCCATGTTGAAAATCCAGCACCACGCAAAGGCAGGCTGACGGCCAGGCCCTCCGGGAAATTCTGAATCCCAATCCCGATTGCTAAGTTCCTATCCACACAAAAAAGCACAAATATATATATGTATTTTTTATATATATATATATATATATATATAAGGTGGAAAGCACAGCCTGGAGTTGGTGAGCTCGGAAAAAAAAAAGACATTATTAAAGATATGCCTTTTGAATGGAAGCACAGCTAGCCCTGGGGCTAGTCATGTTAATATTTAACGTGAACACAGAAAACCTCATCTTCAAAGAGCTCTGCAGCATTTAATCAGCTTCAGCACCAGCCCTGGGAGTGACAGAGACCAGATGGAGGAGAAGAGACCTGTCCAGGGAGGCCCCACGAGGCATTTCCAACCCGAGGCTTCTTGGGAGCCGCAGCATCCCTGGATCCTGGTGTTTGGGGTGGCCTCGGGCTCGCAGGTCCCCCAGAGGGTCGTGGCTCCTCCATCCCAGGGGGGCTTTGACAGAGGGGCCCCAACACAGCCCCGGGGGCGGCCAGACCCTCTCCCATAACCTGCCCCAGCTCTCACCGGCACCGTCCTTAACCACAACCACCCCTGCGTGAGCCTTACAGCCGTGGGGCTTGTCAGAGGAGAAGTATATTTTAGCCACAGGATTTCGCTTGCTTTCTCTCTTTTTTCCCCCTCTTGCATCCTATGGAAAGGCGGCACTTGGACTTCCAGAGCTGGTCTGTCCATCGGTAAAGCAGTACAGGAGGAGGCAGGCTGCTGTGAGGACCGTTCCTCCAGGCACAAGAGATAAAAAGCCTGATAAAGGGCGTTAGGCAGGCAGACACGGTGAACTTGAACTGCTCCAAGTAAAGCCCCATGTCCCCAGTGGCAGAAAACATAGCTCTTGGGAGCTGACAACTGAAGGGCGGACAGGAGAGGTTTGAAGGGATGCTCAAGGGCAGAGAATTAGGTGAGGTTTCTCCTCGCTTGCCCTCTCCCCTTCGATACTTAGACCCAATACCTATTTCAGCATCCACCTCCAGAGCACCCAGCGCCCGCCGCTGCGCTCCCCAAGCCGGGAGCTTCTCCCGCGCAGTGACCCCATGGTGGGAACACCACGTCATTCGGAGCTTATCCAAAATGGCAACAGCTCTGCAAACAGCTGGCGGTCACGAAAGCTGGATTTGCAGTGGGAGGGTTTGTTGGATCTTCTATGCGGGAGGCAGCTGCACCCCAGCTCCGTGCACCAGCACCCCCCCACAACGCCGTCACCTATCCTCAGTTGGGATTTGCTCCAGCCTTGGGACCAACCCTTCCCCTCTGCTCCACGGTCCCTTCCAGCTCGGCAGGAGTTTGGCCTTTTTGGTGAAAACCAGAAAATTGGGATATGGAGTTTTCTCCTTCACTCAAGGAACAAAAATGTTGCAAGCACCGAACCAAACAGGGCTCGTTTTTTATGGCATGGGCTCCTTAGGCTGAGCGGCTCCACGAGAGCGAACGGTAACTTGTCGCACAGCTGGAGCATTTCTCCCATCACGGCTTCACCGGTGTGTGCCGGTGGAGCTGGCCATGGCCCATCCCTGGGGGGAACACCGAGAGCACGACCGTCCCAGGAGTCTCAAAGCTCCAGCAGCGAGATGCTGGGCTGCGACCTGCCCCAGCCCACGGCTCCAGGCAGGACCCCAGTGCCTCTCTGCAAGGTCAGTTATTCCTTTGCCAGCAGCTGAAAGCTCCCTTTGCTGCTTTAAACACTTGTTTCCTATTAGTAAAATAAGACTGGTGAGAAAAATCTCTCTGGGTTGTTTAAACTTCTACAAGGGTTTACAGAAGAGGGGAGGGGAAGGGGGAGAGGCTGTGGGTTTCCCTAACCAGGACAGGCTATTACAATCAAAAACATTATTCAAGGGAAAGAGAGAGAGAACGGAGGGGGAAAAACATCCCTTTTAGAAAACACTGGAGCCGCTGTCTGTGCGCTGGGTTTTTTTTTTCCTCCTTCCCTCGCCTTCGCACAAAGCAGCTATTACTGGCCCCGACCACAACAAATTAATGGGGTGGGAGAAGGAGGTGTGAATGGAGGGGTCTGTACGGAAAGGGTGGTGAGACCCCCCCCTCGCCCCCGGTCCCGCCGGGAGGAGGGAACTCCACGCTGACCCTTGCCCCGCGCCAGCCCCGGGGGGAAAGCAAGCCCCGAGGGGCAGGAGGAAGGGGATTTTAACCCAGTGAAAGAACCAGCAGGAGAAGGTGGGTTTGCCCCTGCTCTCCTCTTCTCTGTCCCACTCACAACCCTCGCAAAACCCATCAGGGCTCCCTGAAAGCAAGAACCGGCCCCGGCCCCACAGCTTGGGCCACCTCCACGGCAGCACCAGATGCCCAGTGGGTCTGGCACGTGCCGGGGACGGGGCTGCAGCCGTCTCGGCGAGTACAGCAAGCAACAGGCTGCGGCGAGCAACGTGCCACCGTGCCACGGCACGCAAACGCCGCGGCGAGCAACGTGCGCCGGTGTGAAATGGGTGACGGCGTGCTCAACGCCAACAGCCACCCAGTTCCCCCAGCCCTCGGCAGGGAGGCAGCAAGGTGTGCCTCCTCCCAGGTCAAGATTTTAACTGGTTTTTTTCCCCAAGAAACGTGGGTGTTGGCATCGGGCGCAGGTACGCAAAGCTTCGGCGTGCGGCAGGGCAAGAGGCAAAGGCCACCAGAGACCCAGCGCCTGGTCACAGACGTCCCTGCGCGTGGGGTTTCTCGCTCCTGCCTTGGGACACCCGCCGGGCAGAAAGGACCTTCTGGGCTCAGCATCAGGCTGAGAAGGTCCCCACGTCATCTCCTGGCCTCCAGTCCCTCCATGTCCCCGCAAATGTCTTTTGCTCACCCGGACCAGACTCCCCCATCCCTAGGACCACTCGTTCCTTCGACGCTTCCTCCCACCGCAGCTCTGCCTAAACATTTCTTGGACTTTGGGGCCTTCTGAGCCTTTCCCAGGGGCACTAATCTTATCAGGATGAGGATAACTCCATGACAGCACGGAGGCCAGGAACACGTAAGCCTTCCTATTTGCTTTGCCTTGGTTCACTGCACGAAGGGTACCTCCACTCGCTGCTCAGGGGCCACCTCTGTTTGCCCAGCGCAGCGTCTCGGGAGATGTCCGGGTGCTAAGGCAAAGATTTACCTCCGATGCCCCAACTGTGAAATAAAACCATCCCAAGGGACATTCCTCCCCCGCTTTGCCGCCGAGCTGCGCACACCTCACACCTTCTCCATAGCTCCCGTGTCGAGCTGACGGCAACACGGTCGGTGAGAAAGTAACCGAATCAAAGCTGCATTGTGTACGGGGAAAACAAAGACGTCCTTATTACGGAAATAGGTGGGGATTCTTGGAAGGCTTCCCCCGACTGCAAAGAAATACATTGTAAAACAGATGCACAAAGACAGACTGGAGCAGCCTGGCCCAGGGGAGCCGAAACTCCGGGTGCCCACGGCGAGCTACGGGACACGGAGGAGATGACAACGGGGAGATGAGCCATCGTAGCCAAGAGGGGCAATCATCAGGATGAAACACTTAGAGACATTGGGGTCTCTAAAGCAAGGAAGGTGGGGAATAACTGATAGAGGGGTGTTAGAAGCAGATCCCATCTGGTCTGACGGGTCACCCAAACCCAGCTAGAAGACATTTCGCAGACAGGGACAATAACCTGCGGCTCATCCCCAACCTACAAACATGCATTAGTCTAAAGAAAGAGCAGCCCAAGGGAAACCGCACCGAACTTTGCCTGGGGATGCGCGTGCCCCGTTAGCAGCTCTGCCACCAGCACACTGGCCAACATGGGAATGGGAATGTCACTTGGGTGTCTCTTCTGTTTGGGCACAACGGACTCAGGTGTCCTTGGAAGCATCCAGGATCAAGGAGCCAACATGCATTGGACATGTTACCTTTCCCAGCTCTCTGCCTCAGCTTCCCCATCTGTAAAATGGTGGTGATGGCAGTGACATCCTCCGTAACCTTCTCGATCTGGGAATAGAAATGTCACTAGGACACATGCCATCTACACACGAGCTCTGCAGGCAGCCAGCGACGCTGGGATGGGTCTGCCCTTGCGTTGGCTGGTCCTTTTCTGCAGCAGAGCCCAGTGCTGCAGTTTTAAGGAAGAAAAGGTAAAACCGTGGCATCCTGGTGGAGCTCCACCAAGGACCAGCTCCTCGTGGCGAGAGGGAAAGACTCCATGGCCCCCGGGAACGTACCGGGGCTGGACCTCCTACCCCCAGCTCGCCTGCCAACTGCTGTGGCACCACGCTGGGAGACTCCAAGTTCACTTTCAAAAAAAAGTTGGCATCTCTGCATATTTGCAAGGTCAAGGCACAGAAAGCCTTCTATAAGCCTAAACCCTTGTTTTCAAGGGCCTATTCTTTTACAAACTGATTATGAAAGCAGGCTACATATTCTTAACAAGCCCCTTTTCACTACGGCTTTCAATTCCCTCCAGTGTATAATGTGCATGTGTATTCTTGCATGGCAGGCCCTTACATACTGTTTTGATTGTTATCGTCTTGCCATGAAAGGGCCGATTGTTTTGGGTTCCCAAGATTACATCATGGCTCCCACTCGGGCCGCCCGTCGAGGTGTTTGATCAGGGCTCGCAGGTGGGAAGGAGCTCTGCGGCGAGCGCAGGGCCCTGAGCGTTTCCCCATACCTGCCCTACCTGTTCAACACGGCTGCCGGCACGCTCTGCCCTGGCATTACGGGAGGCTCTCACGCGAGGAGGCGGACGGGGAGCTGCCCCGGGGGGGAGAAGGGCGGCAGCGGTCGCCTTCGCCAGCCCCGACGGCCGCTGGACCGCGCTCCCACCCTGGGCAGCAGGCTGAGCCATCCAGGGGCGCACAGGGCTCCCGGGGAGGCCGTCGCTTTACGTGCTTGGCGTTTCAAAGGCCAAACCTGCAAAAGCAGGTGGGAGGATGTTACTCCCACAGATTTGCCCTTTGATAATGCAGTATCTTTCATCTCAAACACTCAAAACCATTAAAAAAAAAAAAGGGGGGATACAAACCTACTGTGCCTCCTCCTCCTGAGTGCAGCCACCAGCCCCATTACCCACGGGACA